ATTTTTTACAGACCAGCATTTAATCAATATAAAATAAGACTGCTAGTTTTTGTCATGTCATAACTCCTACATGCATATATCATGTACATGTCATTGTATTCTGATCGGTCAAGGCACTATACTAGTATGGTACAATGTTAGGTTTTCTTTTGTTCTAATATATGTCAATGATCTAACCTAATTCATGTCATTTTAATGCTTCATTTCATCAAACAACTATATTGTTTGTATGCATGATGCAGTGCATTGTTTCTCACTTGTACTTGTATCTCCTGTATTGCAGAGAGACGAAGCGGCGGCGACTCATTAGAGATGCGCAACAGAAGGACAGGAGGAGGTACTACACAATCCAGCTACTGCTCAGCTTCATAATCTAATTAGTAATGTCAGTAATGAAAGAAGAGATCACAGCATTGTTTCAGTTACATTTTTACAAGCCTAAAACAACTAAAAGTCATTCACGTTCCAGCTAGTTTTCTGCTGGCTAAATCAAGCCAAAGTTCCTTTGTTAAACAGTTTTGTTTACTCTGCAAATGTCCCTTGTTTCAGCAACAAGTTCTGACCAACACGATGGGTCTCATGTACGGATGCCTTGGGAAAGTGAGGCCTTACTACCTACATCAAGCCCTCCAGAGGCCCAGTTCACAGTAACAGGTGTTTTTTGTTTTTTTTTGTTTAAACTTTTGAAGTAATTTTTATTAGACCAGTCTACAAGGATTGTCACTTTTAGTTAGTTTTACTTTAAACTTTCTCAGTTAAGTTCCTTCTTTTATTCCTCCAAATTCTTTTTGAAGTTTGAATATGAACTTTGAACTTTACTCATCACCTTACAGCGGTGGCACAAACAGACATGCAATATTGTTGTAATATCTATCATAATTGTTATAATTTAATTCCTGTAATTTCAATGCTTTATTTCATTGAACAGTGTTATTATTTGCATTCATTTTGTAAAGCGTCTTACTTTATTGTCTCGGGTAATGCAGAGATAAGAAGCAACGGTGATGCTAATTCAACAGAGAGGGACAACATGGGGAGAGAAAGAGGTACTACACAATCATATACTCTAATTAGTAATGAATCAGTGATTCAGTGATGAAAGGAGAGATTGCAACATTGTTTCAGTTACATTTTTAAAAGCCTAAAACAACTGAAAGTCATTCACATTCCAGCAACCTTTCTCCTGGCTAAGTTAAACCCAAGTTCCTTGGTTAAACACTTTTGTTTTACTCTGCAAATGTCCCTTGTTTCAGCAACAAGTTCTGTCCAACATGACGAGTCTTCAGTTGAACAGCAAACCCCTCCACCTGTACAGCCACCTTCTTCACCTGCACAGCTACCTTCTACACCTGCACAGCTACCTTCTACACCTGCACAGCTACCTTCTACACCTGCACAGCTACCTTCTACACCTGCACAGCTACCTTCTACACCTGCACAGCTACCTTCTACACTTGCACAGCAAACTCCACTTGCACAGCAAACTCCACTTGCACAGCCACCTGATGAAAGGGAGCCCTCACTACCTACAGAGGCCCAGCCCACAGGAACAGGTGTTTGTTTTTGTGTGTTTTTGTGTAAACATTTGAAGTAAATTTCAATAGGTTCCACAAGGATTGTCATTCTATACTGGTTTTACTTCAAGCTTTCTCAGTTGAGGTCTTTCTGTTCTTCCTCCAACTTCTTTTTGGAGTTTGGAACTTTTTTTCATCTGTTATTTGTTGATTAGTGCTAGCTAAGATTCTATGGTTAGCAATACTTATTATAATAAGTGATTTTGCCTGACATTCCTGTATCCTATCCCCAGGTCAGACGTTTTCAGATGATTTGTCTGACCAAGCTGAAGGCCCCTTAGATCTTTTATTAGGCCAGTCTACAGGAACAGGTAAAATTCATGTTAAATATTTGTTTCACTTTAAACTTCTTCAGATAAATTCCTTGTGTTTTCCTTGTTTGTATGTTGAACTGAAGCAGCATTTGCACTGAGCCCACACAGGCCCCTCAAACTCATCATAAAGAAACACAAAACAAAATTATGTATTGTTACCCTGGACTGAAATCAATTTAGTATTTCAATTGTAAACAGTTGTGTAATAAATCACTGTTGTTTCTTCCCAGGCCAGTCTGCTCAGGATGGTGCATGTGGCGGAGGCACACCGGATGATACTAATGATGACGCTCCTCCAGTTATGAACACAGAAAAGCAAGGTATGGAATTTTTTGTCATCTTTCAAGAAAATCAAATGCAAATCATAAAGAGAACAAGAGGTTAAATATAACAAATAAATATATAGCCAGAACTCACTGGAAAGAAAGAATTAAATGTTGTTAATATTCTGTCATCATTGTTCATGAAAGAACATGCTGTTGTTAGCAAGATTTGATATGATCACTTCCTTTACCTTAACTGGCAAATTTCTGTTACAAGGCCACACCAATTTGATTTGTTGGATCTCAAATATTTCCAGAAGAACTATAAAGCGACAGGGAAAAAATATTATAAAAAAACAGACCTACATGTAGGCATACTATGATAGCTGAAAACAATGACAGAAGCCATGAATTGAAAGTAACAGGTTGGTTTATAATGCAAACAATTAATTTTAACAGCTTTTTATCAAAGCAATGCATTGATAGATTGAAAAGATTGAGCCAAAATATGAGCATCTTTCTTGGAGTTGACTCAAAACCTGAATCCTGAAAGTGGCTGAATCTGAGAACAAATTGATTAAATTGGTGTGGCTTAATGTAAAACTATACACCTTTGCAGGACCACCGTGGACGGACCTGTTCAAAATTGTGGAGAATACACTGCCGCCAGAGAACTGGCTCCGTTTGGCAGAAGCGTTGGGAGTGAGTAATAAACTAATATCCAGCATAGAAAGAGCACCCTTCTGTCAATCACAAGGCAAGCTGCATCAACTTTTGCGGCAGTGGGTGGAAGAAGATGAGGCGGCATCACCAGAAGCACTCGCTGCTGCACTTTGCAAGTGTGGATTTGTTGAAGTAGCAGATATGGTGAAAAAATGCTGCCAGACTTATTATAGAGCTTAGATAAAAAAAATGTCTGGAAGTCAGATTCACCTTGACTTGATTTTATGAATGGCATTCAAGTCACATAACATCTAAGCTTAAAAAAGTACTGCCATTCCAGAGGATATTGTTCTCTGTATGTAGATATAGGTGAGATTGTGCAAATAAGAAGTTACTGTAAGAAGAAAACTAAGGTTATTGTTGATTTAGAATTAATGGGAAAATAATTGTTAAGAGAAAATATTTTGAAAATATTTTGAAGCTCTTGACGTACAGAAATTAATGTATTTTTTTGAGAAAATGTACTTTTTCATGTTTTTAAAACTAAGGATAATTTTACATGCAATAGTCAAAACATGTAATTTAGTCAACAGTGTATAGTACTCGTATAGTATATGTACAACTGCCCATTATACTCTTGATGAATATAGTATAGCGTACATGTACGTGTGGATGTGAACGAGTTCTTAGTAGTTTTGCTTAAAAGCAACATTCTGCTAACAGAATACTAGTTGAACCTATACAATGTATATGTAGAATTTTGATAGACTCATACCAGCTAGTTATCCTATTATCTGCCATACATTAATGATTGTACCTGCTTCAATAGTCGTACACTAAACTTTGACTTTGATGATCATGTTTGAAAATTTATGAAATCGTTTTCATCATTTTTTAAGCCACATACGCTGCCCTAGCGATGTTTACTTTAAAATCACCAACAATTTGTACACACCAGACTGAGTCAACATTCCCCTGTTCAGTACGGTTACCTGGTAATGGGGATCTCCGGTGTTGAGCCAAATCCTTGAGCTGCGCCAGACGTCAGGTGTTTAGGCTGGGGTTAGGGTTGGTATTAGATCTAGAGTTAGGGTTAGATGATTTATTTATTTTTGTTACTTATTGAGATAACGTTATATTGATATATAAATGTTAAAGAGTTTTAAGAGTGCAAGAATAATGCATTAGAGTCAGAATTTTCCATATCAGATTTTATTTCATATATTCAGGCTGGCCACATCATCATATACACGGTACAGAGTCGGTATCCAGGCTGTATATACCGTACCAACTCTCCACACACCCCAATTCTTGTACAGTTCTATTTACACAATCATTCATAAATAATGTCTCTCATTTACCCTTTGTTCACGTTTTAGCGTGATTTTCACGCTTTTACACATAGCATGCTTTCTCTACACATTAAGTACAACCTCTGTCCCGCCCATGCACGTTTTGACCCTCCCCCAAAACATGTATTGTTTTACCTCACCATCCGTGGGGGCGGCCATCTTGTTTTTTTCTTCTGAAACTGCTCTGCAGCTTTTAGCCGCATAACGCCCACCCAACGTAGTGACGTCATTCTCAAAAAATTTTCGAAGCCTCTTTCTTTAATGATATATTAATATATTACAATATCCATCGACCAACAACTGACGTATATAACAATATCATGCGGTATCATTATCGTCCGAACCAGACCTTTGCAGCTTTAGTGACAACATTTAATACTACAATATCACAATCGTATCTGTAATCATTAAGATACATTTGCATATAGGACCAAATTTGGTCAAAACTAAATTTTTTCTGTATAGAAATTTTTTCTCCTTCTACAAATACGTAACGTTATATGCCTCAATCTGACAATGGCAGTAATATACGCCTATGTGAAAACATTGTGGTTATATATACGACATAAGAGATTTTGAACTTCTCTTTCTTTTTCTGTGTCTGAATTACAGTGCCTACTCTTCCAAGAAATACTGTATCATTAAAAAGATACATTCTGAATAAAGTGTTGTGGCACAGTCGCTTTGCAACATTCATGGTTAATATAAAAGTAGCGACTAAGCATACAAAAGTCGCAAATATTTCAGTATCTATATATTTTACAAGATATCCAAAATACAGACGTTTATGTGATAGTATATACACTCATGTATGAGTATAGCAATATTACATAAATAGGTAATACAAGCACCTCTTTTCTATTGATCGATAAATAAGGTAGACCAAAGACTCATGAAACAGTTGAATCTAATAATTCATCATAAATTTTTGTACCCGCTAAAAAGGTACAATGGATTGGAACATATAATATTTCAAGTATGCATTTTATACACTTTAATTACAAATGACAAACTTTTTTTTCAAAGCTGTACTTTTTTGGCGATGCCCCAGGGGCGGTGCCAGGTATCACACCGCAGTTTCGTTGATGCTGTGCCACTCTCCTCTGGAGGGCAGCTGTAGGGTAACATGAGACGAGGAAGCCATGTGAACGTTGCCGGAGACTGTAGCGTTCTGGTTTGTGTTCCTGTCTGCCATTGGATGATCCTGGACCTGTGACCATCTCGACGGCAGTCTCCGATTGGCCGGCTGAGGTCGGGAGAATTTGGCGTCCAATCGGGGTGCTGGGTACAGCCTTACTGTCTGTGTAACCATTGGGATGAAACAACAGAAAACATCATTTATTTATTCATTTCATCTTATAAACACCTGAGTAGCTTTTACAACAGTAAAATTGTTGATTTCCAAAAGGGCCCAGGGACACATAAGCAGCACCAAGGACAGCGATACCAATTTACTGTGGACATCATTCAGTACCAAGGACAGGGATTGCAATGTTATTGTGAACATCATTTAGTACCAAGGACAGGTATTGCAACCATGCATTTTACTGTGTTACTGTGTTCCGACTTGTTTTTCGTCTTAATTTTTATGGAATTGTTTGTACCCTCTTTTCTCCCCCAATAACCCTGTAACCAATACGAATTGGGTGTTAGAAAGCTACCATACCATAAAGCAGGTTAATATAGAACATTGAGTTACCTCAGAGCTGCTTCTAACTCTACTAGTAGCAGAAGATGTGCTCTCTGTCTTCTTCTTTGGCTGTTTCTCTGGCTTGCTTCGTGGTTGGTTGTTGCTGACGGAAGAGGCTGTGCCGACAGAGTGATGCTCCTCTCTCCTGTAGGAACTCAGATGCTGCTCGTTCGATTTGTACCTCTGGTAGCTGGGCGTCAGAATGTCCTCCAGATCCTGAGAAGAAGAAGAATTATTAGCATAAGCGTCTAACGTTTGTTTGCTTGTTAATTCAAAGGAGGTAGAAGGTTAAACTTGAGTCCAGACGTAAGAGAAAGACTTAAGTTTAAGATCTGTTACCTGAGTGGCTATAGGACCACTATGGGTATTGTGAGAAATAGAAAACGTAAAGAAATATACTAGACGCATCCTACTGCAAAAGGCTGGATCATCATCTACATTAGACCTTAATGATTGAAAGAACAATTCAATGGGCAATCGATTGTATCCTCCGTGATCAAGATGTACAGTCGACGTCGAAAATTTGGAGGTATGTGTTTTAACCTTTCAAAAACAGTCACTGATTGAAGAATATTCTACTAACTGCAATCGTATACAAAATTCTTCATATCCCGTCTGTACAAGTCCTCAAATAACATTATCAGATTCTTCCGTAATATCTGGGCCAGACTGTACTAAATAAGTCTTAACATAATTTTATTGCTGTCATTGTGTGTATTTTTTCATCTGTATGTTTTATATGGGCGAGTTAAACCTGAAATAAAGAAATAAATTAAGAAAATAGACACCAGTAACTTTTTCCTGCCGTACCTCTGTGTGCAGAAGCTGTCTCATGGAGGCCAGCCTCCTGTCCAGCGCGGGGATTCCCGTGTCCCTGTTGATCTGGTACCGCATCTGCTCCTGCCGGCTGCGGGCAGGGTACGTGCCCCTCCCGAAGGACGCCGTCCCCGCGGCCCCGGAGCCCTCCTCGCTCGCCGCCGCCGCCGCCCTGGCGAGTCTGTTCCCCTCCCGGTACCTCTCCTCCGCAACCGCCAGCTTCCTGGTCGCCAGCGTCCCTCCGTCTGGGAACCTATATTATAGTTTGAAGAGAGAACTGTGTGAGAGGGAAATGTGTGTTAAGTGCCTTTCCCAAGGGCACAACGTCTGGGTGCATGTCCGGACATGTCTGGGTCCAACCCTGGGGATTGAACCTGGGTCTGCTTGCTTGACAGTCGGGCGCTCTATCCACTACACCACACGGATGCCACACAACAAAAGTACAGCGACTTTCATAAGGTCTAAGACATGTAGATATACAGACAAATATACATGGCTACAACGAAAATATCCTACGTACAAAACAATAGATAGGTCAACTAATACTACTTGTTATAAGGTCTAAACATTCTTTGATATATTTACCTATTTGTACACAGTAAGGGTTATTACCTTCTTGGATTAAATTAAATTTGATAGTAAGGCTTCAATATTATTTCCGGGAATCTATATGATAGTAAGGCTTCAATATTGTTTCCGGGAACCTATATGATAGTAAGGCTTCAATATTGTTTCCGGGAACCTATATGATAGTAAGGCTTCAATATTATCTTGAAAGTTCATCTGTTTTGGACGAGGGATTAAAGAGGTCATCTACATCAGGGCATTGCAATCATCTCTCAACAGAGACGGGGGGCGTCACAGACTTTCTGCAACCTATGATCCACTGCTCACGGGGTCACGTGTGTTATCGGCGTGACGTCACGATAGCGGTGGATTGATCATTCCTTGACGAAGACTGGATCCGGAGTTGTACAGTTGAAAATTTGGGTGAGTGCATCTTCTTGTGTTGGACATTACATTACAGATTCATAAGGCTTCAATATTGTTTCTCTTATTTTGGTCGTGTGATTATGTGTGTTATTTAAGTCACTTTTAAATAGATTTTTGTGTCAAGTTGTAATTTGCGTAACTTTATTTGATACCTTTGTTATTTCTGAGTTCATTTTGTTGTTGATTGGTTTTGTTTGGGGTTTTCAGCCCAGGAACCATTGAAAAACGCCATCGGGCCATATAAATTTCCTGGATAAATAAATAAATAAATGAATAAGTAAACAAATAAACAAACCTGATGGAATCGCTGCTGATCTCTCCTGCAAGTCGCCTGCGCGACATGTTGGGCGACACGGGTGACATTGACCTCTCCGGGTCAGGGGTCAGACGTGAGGGGTCAGGGGTCAGACGTCCGGTAGGTGAAGGTGACCTGACCCTCTCCGGGTAGACAGGTCGCGGAGGTTTGCTTGTGAGCCGCGTCGACTCGTCCAGGTGAAGTTCCAGATGTCTCGTCGGTGGTGCTGACCTTGACCTTTCAACCATGACCCTTTCCTCGGGAAAGGTTAAACTCTTTACCAAGCTTTCACCGCGTTTCACAGGTGCTTCCTCGATGCGTTCCGTTTTGGTCCTACTTTCTGCCAACCTCGCGTAAAAGTCGTCCGCGCCGCGACGACCTCTTGAAAGATGCGAATCAACGCTCTTGGATCTGTCCATTTGCAGGTAGGAGGGTGTGTCTTGTGTCTGTTGGCGCCCTGGTGGCCGCGATGCAATGTCAGAGTTTCCATAACTGTCCACAAGGGAAAGAGAATGTCGGGAGTAAGTG